CTTTTCTGGGATGGTCCTTATGAGAGCCAATTTCATTTGATGGTTTGGCGACTGCACTTGGAGATACATTCAAAGACCTTAATTTCTCAAAGTAATGATGGACTGTCTTTTCTCTTTACTTTACTGTTTTTTTTTACCATAATATGAATTTGTACAATATTTGTACAAATTCTTGAGGAAAACCAGCACCCCTCTGTTAGACAGCTGAAGATGGGCAGCCGCTAAAACAACAACGCAACGGCAATGTAACTCTTTCAAAGGGGTATGCTGATTTTCTATAGGCTCTGTGTGTGTGTGAGCGTGTATATATATTATATCATAGATAGATAGATAGATAGATAGATAGATAGATATAGATAGATAGATAGAATCATGTCATTTAATAAAAAGAATCTAAAAATAATAAACAAAGTTTAACGGTTACATAATATTTATTTTGAACACAACTGGACAAGCTCATAGAACTACACAACAGCAGAGAAATGTCGTTCTTTCTTCACCCACTGAATCTTGATTTGATTAGGTCTGGTCAGTCCACAGGACTTAGGTCTCCCTGATTAGCTTTGTGAGCTTCTGGACCTTTGTCTTGGTAGACATGTCCACATACTTATCACCAATGCTCACGATCATGCCCCCAAGGATAGAGGAATCAGACTGTGGGGAGGAGGAAGAGAAACACATTAAACATCTGTATTACATTGCAATAAATATAACAAACAACTTTGATAAAAACAATCATTTATTTTGTGTGGTCAATTTCACAAGGATGAGCAGACGACAAAACGGATACGAGCAAATGACAAAAGACATTAAATAGACAAGGTCATTTTCAAAAGGTTTCACCTAATTCTAACTCAATATGAACATTTTAGCACTCTTTCTCTGTTATGATACATTAGAAATGAAGCAAGGAAGTGAAGATTACAGTCTTTTTAAACCTTAGTGAAAAATAAAATCAAAACATTAGGCTCGCCTAAGTACTAGGGCTGCACGATTAATCGAATGTGATTGTCATGCACATTTTAGCCCTATAAGTTTATTTTAAAATAATCACTAAAATGAAGCCCAACAAGCTCTCCTACCTTGGTCTCAAGCTTGATGGTCTCTCCCTTTGCCAGGAAACCATTCAGTGCCATCTTCAGCTCTGCAAGATTAGCTTCATCCAGAGGCTGTTCACAAGGTTTAATTCAAAACTTCAATGAAAAAACCCATTCGAAACTTTTCATGCAGATCAGAAATCTTTTAAAACAAAACAAACAAAAAAAATATGTGTACAAACATACATGTATACACTGCTTACCTGTGCGGTGGTGACTGAGCATGTGACCTCTCCTCTGTGGGCACTCATCATTTTGCCAAAGGCTGTGATGACATCAGGGGTCAAGGTCAAGCGGCCATTTTCTGCTAGGACATCTGTAAACAAAAATAATTAAATATTCATATACAATACACTTTCAAACCCATAAAATGCTCTGAATTTTCTAAGTGCAACTATTATCAATTTCGATATTCATTTTTTATATAGGTCACGCTTCTACAGACTTTTCACTTAACATGTGCAAACTCTACTTGCACATTTATTTAATCACATCATAGTTCTCACTAGGCATGGGCCGGTATGAGATTTTGATGGGATGATAACCTTAAGCAAAAATATCACGGTTTCACGGTATTGTCGTTACAGCTTTAAAATGTGTTATTTTTTAAGTGACTGGTTAAAAAAAAATAAAAAATTTCCGCTGAACACAATATATTTTGTTTTTGAGGAACATACAGAATATTAGGAACAGTATGATTTGTTTCTTTTTTCTTTGATTTGTTTGCTAAAAAGAAGAAAAATAAAGACTGACATCTTTATTTAACCTAAATCTGTAATTACAGTTATTTAATTTTAGTTATATAATTCATATACATATAATTTATATCATTTCATATCATTTAGTTATAGAATTTCACATACATAATTTGATTTAATAATAACCCAATTTGAAGCAAAAACAGAATGTTCTGTTCTGACTAGCTTTGTGAAATTATACTACATGCCTGAACGAAGCAAACAGCAGAAGCTCTGAATGAGACGCAGATTCATATTTTCACATACATGACATTTTGGAAAATGATTGCATTGCAACGCAGTTAGTGCAAGTCCAGAACAGAGACGAGTTGCAATAAGACAAAAAACAGCCGGTTGCCGATTGCGTAAGTTCCAGGGGAAGCTACTTAAGTTCGGCCGTCCTACACACACGTGACTGACAGCTCGCTCGCACCAACAGGAGGAGGAGGGTTGTGTTACTCTCTACACTGCACTCAACCTGAGGGATTCCTACACTTTCAGTCTTTGAGGAGACATGAAAAACAGCGCATACCGCAGGAACGGTATAACGGAAAATATTAGCGGTTTTGAAACCATGACATTTTCAAATCGCGGTATACCTTGAAACCGGTAATCGGCACATGCCTAGTTCTCACTGAATCAACCTGTGATACAGAGAGAATAATGGCTGGTCAGAAAACTCACTGATGAGGTTGATGGTGATGGGGGAGAGTTTTGCCTTGGTCAAAGCATCAATGAAAGTCTTCTGTTTGACGCTGCGTTTCACATGGGGGTTCATCACGATACTTGACAGCTTAGGATCCTTAATCAGGCTCTAGGAAGTGGGAAAATGAAAGATAAGCCAGAACTATTGAAGCATCGTGTAAAACAAGCACAAACAAAGAGAGGGAAATCCAAAGTGAAACTCACAAATACATGTCCAAGCTCCTGTTCAACCTTATCAAGGCTCTTCTGCTTGCTGGCAGCAGAGAACAGGGCAGTAGCATAACGTCCCTCCACCCCATAGACCTGGATAGGGGGCTGAAGAAACATACTATGGTAAGAATGCAGCCTGGTGTGCAAAAAACGCTTACACTATTACAGAGTGATTAAATAAATACATTAAAAAAAAATCAAAGACATCTGAAAGCTTATAACTACTTTGGCATCATGTCACAGTTTATACAGCAAATGCATCAGAATTAAAACGTGCAGTTGAATCAACACCGAAATAAATTAAATACTATTACACAAAGAAATCTCTGTGCATTTCACAAAATACTATATAGTTACTATAAATGTCAGTACTGCAGAATTACACTTATACAGAGTAAAATGTTTTCAGAATATGTCATAGTAACTTTTTCCCTGGTATATAATGTTACTTAAAATGAATTACTTTTTTTTTACCTTGACAAGTTTTGCTGCTGGTCGGATCACAGAGGTGCTAAACTGACGCACCTGCACAGAGATGAAGAAAATAACATGCATTAAGATTTATCAAACATGACAGACACGACCTGGTTATAAATATAAATTCTAAGCTTTTGATTTCAGCAGTGTCACTTATTGCGTTTCAAAACTGCATCATATCACTTCTATAGCGTTCTCACTTCTTATAGGTTTTAAAACGTATGTCCAATCTCATTTTCAGTGTTTAAGCAAATAATGAGCATATTTGGAGCACAGATTCATCAGGTCCTTTGCAATACAAGCAAATAAATAAATGTAGCTAATGCAACTCAAAATGAGAGATGCTAGCGAACATATTAACTATATAGTGGATTGTTAATCTCTCACAAGAGCACACGGTTTGGATGACTGTAGCGTTTCATGTCGCAGATAAGACACTGAGTGTCAAGGCCTCGTTCAGTTATCAGACAAATCATGTTGGTTCCAAAGGTCAAATAATTTCAGTTTTAAAAGATTACATAGATTTAACTACACCAAGTCAAACATCTCGTGGTTTTTCATACAAACACCAAGGTTCATCAGAATGTCATACCTGCAGCCCCACTCCAAACGCTGCCATTTTCTCCTGCGACTGTGTAGGTCAAAGCACTGCGCAGTGCGCATGCGCGAAACTCTCGGAAGAAATACGCAAGAGCTCCGCTCATGCATTGTGGGAAATGTGGTTAGTCATATCAGTGGAAAATTACTCGGAAAGATTATATATTGTTGTCTCGTCTGAATCAACGTGTGTGAAGCGTCTTGAGTTAAATTCTTATGTAGCATTCATCTTAAATCTGGTGGTCAGTCCAAAATCAAATCAATTTATTTTTACCGAACCTGATATACTGGTATTACAGAGGCTTGGACGCATACTTAAAGATCACAGTTCTTAACTTCCAATCTTGTGTTTATTATTGTAAAGCGACAAAGGTCATTGCTGACTGCAGGCAGAATGTCTTTGTCTAAAAAAAAAAAATAAATAAAAAAAAAATTCATTCATATTGGCATTACCTCACCTCGGCTGATTTGGAATAACACCTTTATCTTACATGATTGCAATTTAATTGCACTGCACTTTTTCATCTGTTCATTGTGTGTGAAGACAGATGCAGCTCAGCCCATGAGCAAGAAGGTCATATGACATCATGTCAAAAAATGATCTTGATCCTTTCACCCAGATACAGACTATTGATAAAGATATAACATAAGCAATGAGTAATTGTGTTTATTTTTATGTTTTACTTCAGCTTTAATGTGAAGCTGGATACTTCGGTTGCACCTGTGGGATCTGTTAATTGACTAGAATTCTATTTATTTACTTTACTAATTCGTGATGACAGAAAGGCTGTAAAATCTATTGCTATGTTGGATGGAATGATAGCATGCATACACTAAAACTAAAGTAAACGAACTTAGTAAAGAACATTCTTAATGAGCATTATAACAAGGAACCTTATGGTGCATTTCCAGATTTGTTCTTTTGACTGCAAAATCTAAGAGGCTTAGAATTAGCCTTTCCACAGACTGTGTCTCCATGAGTCTTGAAGTTTTGATCGTGGCTAAAGAGGGCGATTTCTAGTAGTTTCCATTATTAAGTAAGGGACTACAAGAAGTAATAAATCATGAAACAAAGGCTCGTTTAGAACAGACTCTGTTGTGAGATGTGACGGGCGTGGCTTACTATGCAAATTACCCTCAAATGGCTATGACACGTTTACACACCAAATATACCAGGGCGTTTACAGCGGAAGATAAGAGTGGATGGACGTTTATAAAAGGCGCGTGTGGGGAACCATTAATTCCGAAGGAATTAAATCTTCAATTTCTGAACTTTTAAAAGACCTCTTCTGACAACTAACATATCCTGCATCCTCAGTCAGAAACTGATGTAGATGATCACTTCACTTGGAGCCGTTCGATCATCTATAAACACGCGCTGATCAGTTCTTGATTTCAACACTAACGGTATATCATGAAAATGGTAAGTTGTATCTCAAGTGTAACCATTGTATTAATCAAACAGCAATTTTGAATGTAATTAAACCAATGATCTTTGCAAACTTGGAATTGTAAACAGACTGTGTTTGTTGCGGCGTACAAATGCGCCGCATTTGAAGAATTTCGTCATTCAGTAGTGCAATAGGCTATAAATAATCAATACGTCTTGAATTAAATGGGTATAGTTCATTTAAAATGGAGCAAGGAGGCGTGGCATCATTCACCTTTATTATTTAACATCTTTGAAAATGAATGATGATGGAGACTGTTAAAGTCGTACAGATTTTCTTGGTCGCTACAAAAATATTATGGCATAAAGCGTCGTTCTGTCCGGCGAGCGCTGCTTCTAGAAATTTCGCAGTGGGTTGGTGTTGTAGCCTGTCACTCTGTAAAATTCCACGCCGAAAGAATCGACACAATTCCCAACACGATATGAGTGTCAATACGCAGCGTAATAGGGCATTGTTTTTAATAGGGTCGATTTTGTCATCCATCCTTGAAGAACTAGTTCTCTTCAATATTTACTGTCATGTATGTTTGTTTATATGTTGAAAGTCGTTGCCACTTGTTACTAGAGCACGTTTGAGGTTGAAGTGAGGTGCTGCAAATGGAAATTTTCCATCTTGCCCACCCCAAGTCTCTTTCCTTTCCCCCCCTTGGCCAACCAGAGGATCCATAAGGAGATTATCACGGTCTGGCTGGTTGTTAGGGATCTGATGGTGCATTCAAAAATGAAAATGATGTCATCATTCACTCACCCTTTTTGACTCTTTCTTGGATTTGTTAGGCAGAATATTTGTGACAGTCAAGGTCACCATTCACTTTCAATTGCATCGTTTTCTATACATCAAACTTAATGATTACCAAGACTTGCATTCTACCTAACAAATCTTTTCGTGTTCCACTTAAAAAAGGTCATATGAGGTTTGGAAGGATAAGGGTCAGTAAATGAATTTGGTTAGCTGTCCCTTTAAGATCTAGCTGACTTTGTGTTTTGTCATTTGTGATGTGTTGTCAGTTATGCTAAGTTTATATCAATGCTGATGAGCAAATGCAACCTGATAACATCAGCACAAGCCCTGTCATACAATTGGTATCATGGTAGTGCTTTGATACACAGAGAAGGCCATGGTGGGTTGTAATCATTATCTCTTAATGTGTATATACAGTAATTCTATGTCTCAAAGAATATGCACATATCTGAGAAAACTGTACAAGTGAAAACCTCATGAAGTACAGATAGAGCATAACTTACCTGTTTTATAAAAAGCTTGGGCTATGAAAAGGAATGTAAGGAGGAATGGTGGACTTTTTTCCATCATGTGAATTTAACCTAGATTGGTGATAAGGGATTTTGTTTGGTAAGGGTTGGGCACTTGGCTCCCCATGTTGGGCTATAATGTAAGAGGAACTGAGTTGGCATTTTTCTGACATCATGCATCAGATACATATGTGATATGCATATTAAGTGTGTTACAGGAGCAATTTCACAGTAATACCAATAGGTGGCAGCAGTCACTGCTTATTTACATTTCTTGAGGATTTTTTTGTTTTGTTTATGGGCATAAGCATCTGGTCGTGTGTTTTACCATTGATTACTTTTAAATCTTTGTTTCTCATTTCCATTTTAAACCTCAGCAGTAATATGACTAAACTGATTGGATAGTTGGCAGGGCTGTTGCAGTCTGACCTTTAGCTTGCTGTTAGATATCATAGGATGTTAAGTTAGCTGTCAGAACCAACCAGTGTAGTGTTATGTAATAATCTGCCCTATGATTCACAAGGAATTAGTGCCTGAAGTCCGAGCTGGTATAGTTTCAAATGGCAGAGCCATGGATTGGAAAGTGATGCGGCACATATGCGTATGTGTTGCGTAGGTTATGCACACAAAACAGCCAGGCAGTGATTATTGGAGACCAAGATGTAATAACACATGCATATAATGTATAACACATGTATAATAACACGTGTAATAACACATTATGTAATAAGTTTATGTACAAAATAAATAAATACACATCCAGTCAAAAAAATGTAGCTAAATTCTTACACATGTTGAAAGTGAGGTTTAACAAATGTGGGATAAACAATTGTTTTAATAAAGATTGAAAGGAGAAATTGATTATTATGATAAATATTTGTTGTTATTATCATTTTGTTATCATATATTTGAATGAATGGACAAACAGTGAATTAAACAGTGTTTATATTTCTGTTATTAATTAAATTAATTAATTAATTAATTAAGGATGCACTGCCACTGATATTAAAATTCTATATGAATTTAGCAAGCATGACATTATAATGATTAATTATAATAATTTTGAGATTCGCTGAAGGTTGTATTTAACAGTTTTATTAGTGTTTTAAAATATTAAGTGAGGGAAAGTTAAGCGAAATGTAAAATAAGGGAAATGTGAATGCACAATTAAATAACCAATCTTGTCGAATACCAATAAATCAGTAAAATGTTTAAAATCATCCAATTACTAATTTGGTACCAGCATAAATATTGTGCATCATTTCTGTTTTCTGCCTTTGTAAATCTTTGTATATTCCTCAACAGAATAACAACCGTAGCAATGATATAAATGAAATCTTTATCAAAATGCTATTTTCCTGTTTTGTGGTGATTATAGTCAGTGGCTAGTAATAATGAATGGGACGGGGAAAAGTCTTTTGATCCACACTTGATCTAATGCATGCCCTGTCTCTCTCTCTTTCTTTGTGTTTGCTGTCTTGCAGGAATGTAAACTCTTACCATTTCTAGACCAGAAGCCAGAGACATCCTCCCCAAAATAACTCTTGTGCTTCATGAGAGCACCGTTGGATAACCAATCAAATCAAAACCAAACACAGACCAAATAGAAATTCATCTGAAAGATGGCGGATGCTTCAGTTTCCTTCTAGAAAGACAGCAAACCAAAGGAATAAGAGGTTTTTATTTTGCTTGCATCTTTGCCCAAATAAGCCAAAATTATTTCAGACAATTGCATTTTGAACTGTGATAGTAGCTTAAACATGTTAAAAACGGGACCAGCGATGGAGGCAGTGGATATTGCAGTTGTTGCACTTTATTTTGTCCTTGTGCTTGCCATTGGTCTCCTCTCCATGTGGAAGGCCAATCGTAGCACTGTCAGTGGCTACTTCCTGGCAGGTCGGAATATGAATTGGGTGGTGATCGGTGCCTCACTGTTTGTCAGCAACATCGGCAGCGAGCATTTCATTGGACTTGCTGGTTCTGGTGCAGCCAGTGGTTTTGCAGTGGGTGCCTGGGAGTTCAATGCCCTCCTGCTTCTGCAGCTGCTCGGTTGGGTGTTCGTCCCAGTCTACATCTACTCTGGAGTTTACACCATGCCAGAGTACCTCTCCAAGCGCTATGGAGGCAAGCGGCTAAAGGTTTACTTCGCAGCCCTCTCACTTCTACTGTACATTTTTACTAAACTCTCAGTGGACTTGTACGCAGGAGCTCTTTTCATCCAGGAGTCTCTTGGCTGGAATCTCTACCTGTCGATCATCTTGCTTATCTCCATGACCGCCTTGCTGACAGTAACCGGTGGACTGGCAGCTGTGATCTACACAGACACTCTGCAGGCCGTGCTCATGATTGGCGGTGCGTTAACCCTTACCATCATCAGCCTGGTCAAGGTAGGCGGTTTGGAAGGGGTGCGGGAAAAATACATGGAGGCGATCCCCAACGTCACAGCCATCCTGGCTAACAGCAACTTCAGCTTTCAGTACACAAACTCCTGCCGAATTCATCCCAAGCCAGATTCCCTCAAGCTCCTACGAGGGCCGCTTGATGAGGACATCCCTTGGCCAGGCTTCCTTTTGGGTCAAACACCCTCATCCATTTGGTACTGGTGTGCTGACCAGGTCATTGTCCAGAGAGTGTTAGCTGCCAAGAATATCGCCCATGCTAAAGGCTCCACACTTATGGCGGGAATGCTTAAGGTCCTTCCTATGTTCATCATCGTTATTCCAGGAATGATCTCCCGAATATTGTTCCCCGATGAGCTGGCATGCATCGGACCAGAGCACTGCATGACTGTGTGTGGCAGTCAGGCTGGCTGTTCCAACATCGCCTACCCTCGGCTGGTCATGAACGTGATGCCGGTGGGTCTCAGAGGGTTGATGATGGCTGTGATGATCGCTGCCCTCATGAGTGACCTGGATTCGATTTTTAACAGCGCTAGCACCATCTTCACATTAGACATTTATAAAATGCTGCGTGTATGTGCCTCCTCCTGTGAGCTGGTGGTCGTCGGCAGGTTGTTTGTGATATTCATGGTGACTATCAGCATCGCTTGGGTGCCTGCCATTATTGAGATGCAAGGTGGCCAGATGTACTTGTACATTCAGGAAATGGCAGGATACCTCACGCCTCCCATTGCTGCCCTCTTTCTGCTTGGAGTCTTCTGGAAACGTTGCAATGAGACCGGCGCATTTTGGGGCAGCATGACTGGGTTCGTACTAGGCACCGCCCGCCTCTTCCTTGGGTTTATATATCGTGAGCCAAAATGTGACCAGCAGGATGAACGCCCGGCTTTCATCACACATGTCCACTACATGTACATTGCCGCCGGGCTGTTTTGGATCTCTGGGCTGGTGGCTGTGTGTGTCAGTCTGTGCACATCACCCCTAGAAGAGGAGAAGATCAAGCGTACCACAATCTGGGGCTTGAAAGAACTTAAGCGCCTTCCTGTGACAGAACGAGAGGAGATGTACAAACTCACTAATGGCAGTGGCAACGGTGTTCTCAAGAAAGATGTTCCTGAAGACATCCAGAAGGAGAGATGTCTTGATGGGGCTGACATGAAACTCCTTATGCCCTCCTCTTGTGACCAAGATCCCATGACCCCCAGCACAGAGGCATCCACGCCGATGGAGCTGTATGCCAATGGTCATGCAGATCTTGTAAAACAGAAGAATCAAGGCAAGTGTGATGAAGAGAGCTGCCTTCAAGTGTCTGACTGGATTTGTTGTCACAAAGAGAAAACGTCTGTTATCGAACCCAAAGTCATTGAAGTAGATGAAGGAGCTGTACTTGAAATGCTTTATGAACCTCCTAAGATCAAGATCTTACTTAACGTAGGCCTGGTATTCGTCTGTTCACTGGGTGTTTTCATGTTTGTGTACTTCTCCTTGTAATATGCTGATCTTGCAGTACCGTAAGGCCTGTGTGAAAGACAGCATATTTATATGAATTATTTGTTAATACAAGCCATTTAGGGTCTGTAATATTTACAGTGTGGTTTATCTTTCTTTTTATAACTTCCCTTTAGGGACTCTAAGCATTTTGAATCATACTGATAGAAGTTATTTGTTCTTTGCCTTGGCTCTGTCACACCTCCTTGAAAATGTTCAACTCTTCTTTGTGGTATGTTGATGATCAAATGTGTTGTTGAAACGGTAGCTTTTTTATAGTTGGTTGAGCTAAGCTAATGAGAATATACTATTTTTTTTCCTTGGTGAATTTTGCCTTAATGTGTACACTCCTCCAAACCGGAAGGAGGTCAGTTTTTTGCCTCAAGTAATTTTTTTTTCTCAACAGACCACTTATATACTAGTACTTAAATGTGTAAGGAATTTGTCTTTTGTATATGCATTTGTAATTGTAAGCACACTCTTAGGAATACCAAATTTCTAAAACTTGACCTCACTTGTAAATGTGTCAACTGTGTAACTGGAATATTGTTTCCAAAGTTTTAATGTTAAATGGAAATTGTGAAAATTATACATTTTAAGTTAGAAAAGGTGAGAAATTTATCATGATGTCAAAGTCTTTATTTAAAATAAAAACTTTTGCAAAAAAAAAAAACCATATCACTAAGGTGTTGTGCCGTCTGATTAAACCTGGTACCTTGATGTACATTCCCAAATACAAGTGTTTAGGTCCATTCATGTAAATTGTAACTGTAACTCTGTATGCAATTTGCTTTAATTTCTTTGTATTTATAGCTGCTTTAATTGGACAAAAACAAAACACCAAAATGCCTTTTGTGTAGAGCATAAGCTGTAAAGACACTGCTTTGTCTTCATTTTGGGAATTTAACAGTTAATGTGAAAAGACTTCCACTACAAAACAACGCAACTATAAAACACAGACTGGTTATGTGGATGTTACTAAATGACCATCAGAACCGCCACAGGAAAGACTTGCTAGCTAGAGAACACAATCATTAATGTGTTAATAACTGATATCATAACTGATATTATGATATCCCAAAACGGGTCATTAAGACTGGGATGTCCAATTTTGATTGCTGTGTAAAATAGTATCTTGTTCTTCTAGAAGAAGAAGAATTTGATTGTGGCTGCAGTAACAGGCATTGCCTGTTGTTGATCTGCTGTTGAATGCACTATTTGTTCAGACAAAGGGGAACTGCTGGATGGCCTTACTGAATATGAGATGTGCGTGAGGGATTTTCTAGACAGATGTAACTTCTTTATTAAGTACAAGTTCACAATGTTGTATTAAAACCTTGAAAAGCCCTTAATTGTAATGAAATTTGAATTCAGAAGTTATGTCAAAAGAGTTATATGGAGAGGTGCAACATTTTTTTTTTTATCATTCCAAATAAAATTAGATCGGGATAAAGTCATTGGAGGGCTATTGTTTTACATTGTAAATGAAATCTATGTAAATCACTCTGTGTATTTAAATCCATTTGTGTACAAATAATCTTTTTGTAAAAAAGGTACATTAATAAAAAGAAAATGTTCAATAGAGATTTGTTCATTTATATTTATTTTCCCCAAATTAATGGTTTGGTTTTTGACTGGTTCTTGTGAATGTTACTGAAGTGATTCCTATTTCTTTGCAGCTATCAGCTCATCTTATTTTTACTTGTAGCTTCATTCTCAATCTCAGAGTAAAAAATCACAGTCATATCACTGCTTAAACTGGAATGAAATAACTTAAGGGTAAATTTACAAAGCTTAGGAACTGTTGTGATTATCTGAAGCCTAATTAATTCAGATTAATTGTTCTCATAATCCAAACCTGACATGATCTCCTTGAAATTATAAAATAAATGTTCAGTTTTCATGTGTTGTTTGTGGTAGACCTTATGCTCCAACAGAACATCTTTTAGCACACACTGAACACTTGTGCATAATATATGTCCTTTTTTTCTGGCAGTGCCACACTACTTGCTTAAGGGTGTGGAAGTGATTGTTGGTTTTGGATACACCACAGATTTTCAAACCAACACCCAAAGTTTTTAAATATTTATCCATGCATTTAATAGTGAAATGATTTTTTTTATCGAAGGCACTTATACAGTATGTTGTTTGTTTGTGTTTGATAATGCGAATTTTAATTGACCGTTACATTATTTCATTTAACATCACTCTCTGAGGTACTTTTTTAAACACGGCCTTTCATAACAACAAAAGGGTTTTGTGTTTATTTGGTTTTATTTGTTTTCAGTAGCTCGTTTTGTTTGTATCATTTGTCTTTGAATAGTGTATAGCTTCCAGATATTTCTGTTGTGTGATTTAGCGTGTGTACATTTATTATGATTCCTTGTGTTGTAGAAATCGGGCTTTATCGATTCATTGTGATGAGTTCCATGAGCTAAAAAGATGCATATGGAGTTTATTGCTTTAAATCTTTGATCTTATCAGAAATACGCAAATGATTTGTACATTGTACATTTGCTACTTTTATTATCAAAAGTTGCGGATGAATAAAAAGACATTAATTTGAGAAGAACAAACTGTATGAGCTTGGTTATTTGACATTAAATCTTATATATTGTGTCATTTACTTGTATGTTGTTGAGCTTTTAATTATTTAATTCCTTTGTCCTCTTCCAAACAATTGACGCAAACACCACTGCATTTCAAAATGAGAGTTTTATAGTCTTGTTTATCAGTCATTCGTGGCTCTGTAATGTCTTGTAGAAATGATGATCCTGTCTTGTAATATGACATTACAATAGCACGCCATCTAAATACTGCATGAAGTTATTTAGTAGGGCTGGGCAAAAAAAAATCGATTTTTCGATATATCGTTTTTTAAAATGTGGTCGATTCAAATCGAATCGAATTGGAACATCTGAATCGATACCCAGCCCTATTATTTAGTCCTGTTGATTTCCCGCTAAATGATTATTCTGCATGATAATCTATCTACAGTATAAAGACAATTACTCCTATATATACACATAGACAGAGTATCAACCATTTGAATAATATACACACGTTAGCTGTAAAATCACTCAGTAGGTTATATTAGCAGAACTATATAGACACTAGTGGTCTACGTAAAATATAAATTTGTCTTTGAAAGAATATAAAATAAAGATTTCAGATTATGCATTGCTTTGAAGTGAACTGTAAAGGAAAAAGTGTTTTGCAGTGCTCTCTCTTTCCCCCACAGCATGACAGTTTGTATCTGTGCACAGTAGTTTTCCACTGACAGCTTCCATTTATTTTGCATTCAAATGCATGTTAGGAATGGAGGTGACTGAGTGGAAAACTTTCTCGAGGATGAAAATGCGTAGGTGAATAAATGTTTTGAGCTAACCTCCATCTCGCAGCTTTGTTTGGCAAAGCCCTGCAGGTTATTAGGGTGTGTCAGTACTCTATTTGATGTTTCTAAGAAATATAAAAAACTGGAACAATGTTCCAAGAATCTGTTTTGACAACGTTCAAAATACATGAAAATCACAATCTAAATGTAGCGAGCTCTTCAAACTGAGCCGATGCAGTAGATCCTGTGGCTTGGCGTTTCACCTGCATGGGAGATTCAACAATACTGGTCGAATTGAAGGGATAGCCTTGTCTAACCTGAGTCTAGCGCTAATAAGGACAAATTCTCTATCCATATCTGGTTTGAACTTACTACTTGTCCATGAGCAAAAAAAAAAAAAAAACCCAAAGTATTATGACAGGACTGTTGGACTTGAAACTGATGTCTAATGAGTAGTACTGGGCAGTTTGATTGCATCCATTCAACAGGCGATATTTTACCTCTTCCGTACCACTCAGCCTAACAGCATCTTATCAGATATAGAGCTATTCTATATGAAAACTTAAACTCTTTTATTTGCGCCACTGTTTGGTTAATGTTACTATGACCTCTTTTTCTACCTCTGTATTTCCTCCTGAGGCTGGTGCTGCTACTACAGACAGTGGAAAAGTACTGGCAAAACAATACCGTGGGCTGCTCTTTGTTCATTGTTGCAGCAGGAGAGCAACAGTGAAAAACAACAAATCTATTTCAGCATGTATTACACATGCACATTTGGACTGACCACTTCATTTTTACAACTAAAGGTGATAGCTGTGTGAATTGCACTCATAGCAGAATAGGTCACTCCAGTTAATGACCAATTTAAATAAGAGAATGCACTTTGCATGCAAATAAGGTGCAAGCAAGGGTGATTGTTAGTAACTGTAATTCAGAAAGCATATTTTAAAGTCTATGTAAAGGCAATTTAGCAAATTGTTTCTAAACACACAAGTGTTAGAAATATATTGCTGAAAACGCGTTACAAAGACTGTGAATGATGTCATACTGAATTGTGGAGTTAGAACGTTAAATAGTTTTTCACCATTTTTGTGTTCATGAATTTTTTGGGCGGGCCTGAAATCATGGCTAGGTGATGCACTGGAGCTACTAATCATGGCCCTTCCCCTTAATCCTTTCAAAGCTTTCAGGTTTGAAAATGAGAGGCGCACAGCACAGCCTTTTTTTGGTAGACTTTTTTTAATTTAGAAAAGAGCACTGCGTTTTTTTTTTCATGTTGTAGGAAACTGTCATGTTAGCAGAAACTAACAATAAAGCTCCGGGTAACCCGTGACAGCCACCACAAGTTTCTCCATCATTGCAGTCTCCGGACATTCCCTGCAACTGTAAACTTCGGTCACCACAACAGAAGGCCTGCCTCTCCATTCATTTGATTGGACAATGGAAAAAAACGCGAATGCCGTTGCGGCTTTTTTGCTCAGAGTTGATTTTTTTTCAGCTTCAGGCACTCAGAGTGCTCCTACAAAAACACGAGACCTACAGGTTGCTAACTAGCTATGCCTTCATCACGTAAATGCATATTACCTGGTTGCAATAATTTACAAAGCAGCTCGGTCTCCTTATTTAAATGAAGCTGCTAGAGGGAGCCAGGGGCGCCGCTAGGGTTTCTGGGCCCCCTGAACAGCATATTGACCTGGGCCTCCTCCGCGATCGCATTCCATCACGTACAAATCCCGTTCCGTGCCCCCTCTCCCTCATCGGGCCCTTGGAATCGTCCTAACCTTCCCCCCGTTACGGCACCACTGGAGGAAGCATCCATTCAGGTTGTAGCGGTATTTGAC